GTATCATGATATTTAAAGACTACTGTGCACATAGTAAACCTCTTTTTCAGTCACTACGTATTCTCAATATATATGACCAATTTAAGTATCAGCTATGTACATTTATACATGACCTACAATTTCACAGATTGCCACGTGACCTTAATTACTATTTCAATTTCCATACTCACCATTATCACACTAGGTCAAGGGATAATTCAAACTTTCTTCTACCAATGAAAAAGACAAATTTGGGTCAGTTTTCAGTCGATTACCAGGGAACTAAAATTTGGAACAGCTTACCCCTGGATATCCAATTGAGTCGTATTCGAGCAAATTTTAAAAAAGAAATGAAAGACTATGTAAACCACTGTAATCATCCATAGTTATATTCCAATATGTATATATAGAGGCATACAAACATGTATCGGTGTGTAAGCAAACCATTGTAAATAAGTTTTTTCTGTCTACTTGATTGCCCTTTTTAATAAATAGCTATTTACAAATATATTTTGATGGGAAATAGACTAGACTAGCTCTGCATGAGCTAATTTCTGTTTCCCAGCCATAGATTAATATTATTATTATTTATCAATATTTATTAGTTATTATTTATTGCTGTATTGTTTTTTTGTTTTTTTATGTAATCTATGGTAAATAAACATTATTATTATTATTATTATTTGTTTTAATCTTAAGAATACCAAATCAGGTTTATGTTCACAGTTTTTGTTTCTACTAACACTAAATCTACTTTATCAGGGAAGAAACTGAAATCATTGAAGGTGAAGTCGTTGAAATCCAAATTGACAGACCTGCTACTGGAACGGTAAGTTTGAAAGTATTATTATTGTCCTTTAGCAATTATAATTTATTTAAAAAAAAAGAAAATCAGACTTCTAAGAAATGCTGTGGTGGATTTGAGCTATCACATGCTAAAGATCAAACAAAAATGTTTTTTGTACATACACTTTGACACATGAAGACAAAATATGCTAATGCTAGATATCTAGCATTTTGACCAGGGAAGAAAATGTACATGGACAGTGTTAGTATAATTAAAGGAACCAGTGTCATATTCCTATTATATTATTCTTTTTGTGTTCAGACACTTTGTTGTTTACATGTTATTAAATATAGTGATTCACTTTGTTGACAGGGAGCCAAGGTTGGGAAACTTACATTAAAGACCACAGAAATGGAAACTATTTATGACTTGGGAACTAAAATGATTGAATCACTTACAAAAGAAAAAGTACAAGCTGGGTGAGTAACCGCAATTTATGCATTTATTATATTGGTTGCTATGATACTCAGGGGTTTCACATGATCATTTAATAGCAGGTCATCATCCTGTAACAAAAGACCCAAAAAAATAAAAAAAGGCTCTCGGCAGTGCGAAGCCCTGTAGCGAAACTGGTGTTGGTGGTCAGGTGGGGGCAGACCAGAAAGTAGACTGCCGATTTAGGCTTGTAGCAGGCCTTATGGCCCGCGGACAGCTCTCAACGAAACCACTGGATACTTGATCACATGACTATTATTGCTCCTCTTTATTGTGTACTCCAGGTATAGGGTCCCATTCATTGAGGTTTTTTCACTGGGACAACAAGTCTACATACACTACATCTACAATGTTGCAGAAACTATGGTCATATTTAGATCACATATAAGCCCAAATCAATTTCAGCAATGTATGAAATATTACCTGTCAATATAAAAACAGAACAGTTGTTATAGGGATAATTATTTTTCACTCAAGGGTTGAAAACTCTTGAAAAAAATTGTCTACTGACCTATTCCAAATCAAACTTCCATTGGTCTTTATTTGTATGAAGTATTTTGATATTCACATGTACATGTTTAACCATTCAAAATACTAGTGTTTTTTCATATTACCATCCAGGTAGCTGTATTATGTTCATAATATATGTGACAAATCAGCCTTTTCCCTAGCAAAATGTTCAAGCATAACAGCTAAATTACCTATGTTAATACATATGTTTAGTGTTCATATGTATGATACTTGAATAGATCTAAGGAAAACACTCACTGATAATTTTCTTGAACATCTTGTCTACTTCTATATATTTTGTAACAAATACATTAAATTTGCTGTGAACTGCAGGTACGATGGACTAACAGACATTGTAATCTTGGTAATTCACCATTAAAATTTGCAACTCTCTGACCACTATCCAGCAGAATTTTCCAATCCCTGCCATTGTGCATCATATTGATTCAACACGCAAACTGTGCTTTCATTATTAAAAATTATCTGACATTGATAATGCTATAAACGGACGGACCAGTTAACCCCTCTCACCCTAATTAGAACAGTCACAACTCTGCTGTCAAGTATAATATATCCAGTTCATGTGCTTAATTCACTCAACAAGTTTGCTCCGCCCTTTCATAGCTACAGGTACTGGATCACCATTTATGTTATTGTTTTGCATTTGTCTTTACAAAGGGACATTATCACAATTGATAAGGCAACTGGTAAAATCACAAGACTAGGAAGGTCATTCACCCGAGCCAGAGATTACGATGCAATGGGACCACAGGTGAGTGTTGTACTTGATTTCAATTCATGCGGAATGCCATACAGCATTATGTGTAGTTGAAAAGTTATTGGAGGAAAAAATCCTAAATAGCCAGTGGACTGGAAATTCAGTATCACTAGTGTAACTCATTTTAACAGATAAATCGAAATAAAAACTGTACATTAGAAATCAAGCCCATAATAACAAAAATTGCAGTTAACATAAATGAAGGAACAATTAAAATTTGTAAAAAGTACAAAAAAAGTACCCCAGAACTCAGATCAACTCTAATGTTATTTTTAAAGGGGAAATGTATGTGCGGCCTTCAAATCTGATAGAAGTTTATTACCCAACACTGTGTCATGAAAAAGATATTATTTTCTGCTCAAGTACTTTATTAACTTGTTGATATGTACAGCTTGTTATTCTTGGTTTAACATATAGTCTAATAATACTGATGTCAACAAATAAATATTTGTGCTATGATTTACTGATGTTCTTGTTTACTCATGACTGGTATGTTCATTCTAAATTATTTTTTGTTCATTGTAATAATAAATGTAATAGGCAGTTTTTTGAAAAAGTAAAAAAAAAATGTACAAACACTATGAATAAAAATTATGCAAATGTTATGCTAATTATCATGCAAATTAGCTACCAACCTTACCCAAAATCCATGTGAAAACACTGCTTATGCCATATTTAATCTATTAGAAAATTGTGTGTTAATGTAAGGTGTGGCTATGGTCAATGATTCAGCAAACATTGAAAGCAATTTTCTGTTTATTTGAGATGTGCTTCTAATAGATAGAGCAAGTAGAGTATACCCTGGCCAGCAAATTCATGTACATTATATCATCACAGGGTCACTCATTGCATTCCCACACCAAATCAACCGTTAGCTCATTCAGTAGCACATCCAGCGAACTTCATCGATCTAAATATCTGAAGTTCGAATCTTAAGTCAGGTGCAAGTTGCTCTCTCAATGCCTTCGTTTATTTACATTGTACATGGTTCTATTTCTTTCAGACTAAATTTGTTCAGTGTCCAGAGGGTGAACTACAAAAGCGAAAAGAAGTTGTCCACACTGTTACTTTGCATGAGATAGACGTCATCAATAGTCGGACACAAGGTTTTCTAGCACTATTTTCTGGTAAGTAAATCTTGCATCGAATAATAGCAAAGGTAGATATAGAGATAAATATGTAGTGATCCTTGCAAGATAACGCAGTCTCTGCTCTTGATGCATTTTCCTATAAGATGGACAAGTGCATTATCACATTAACACTATTCATTAGTTCATGTCCATGTGTGCCGACTTCATGTGTACATTCCAGTAATAAATTTCTGTTATTTCACAGGTGACACTGGCGAGATTAAGAGTGAAGTACGTGAACAAATCAATGCTAAAGTGGCTGAGTGGAGAGAAGAGGGCAAGGCAGATATTGTACCTGGTGTTTTGTTTGTAGATGAAGTACATATGTTAGATGTTGAGTGTTTCTCATTCTTGAATAGAGCATTAGAAAATGACATGGCACCGATTTTAATCATGGCTACAAACAGAGGTATCACAAAGTAAGTTAATTGTGTCTTCTCACTATCTACCCACCCACCCACTGGCTTCAATTAATGATTCTT